AGTGCGAATGCAATTTACAAGCTGAGAGGGTGATGGGGTTCTAGTTTACTTCCTCACCCCATGGGGCAGTGTAACCTAGCAGATAGAGCACCAGACTGCAGACTCAGGAGACCTCGTTTAATCCACTGGCTTGGTGGGTGACCTCGGGACAAGTCATTTCCTTCTCCATGCCTCAGTTTCCCCTTGTGGAAAAGGAGGATAATAATCCAGACCTCCTTTGTCAAATGCTGTGAGAGCCATGGAGGAAAAGAGCTGGGGGTAATGGTTATTAACCCCGGCCACCCACTTCCCCTTATGCAATTTCCAGCCCCCATAACTAGCTCTGACCCCTGGCTCCAGCCCCATTCAAAATGCCCTCGCACTGTGTCTACAAGGCTGCAGGGGAGCTGGTCTCAGCAGGGCTGGGAGCAAAGTGCACCCCTCCGGTTACCCCTCTGGCTGGCTTGCTGCACCAGTTTGATGGCAATGCATTAAGAGGGGCTGCAGGAGGTGTGCAGCAGAGAAAGCAGGGGAGGTGAACTGCCAGGCAGTCCACTGACCCAGCTGTGGGCAGGTCCGTGGTCACATAGTTCCCCGAGAGGACGGAGCTGCCCAACTAAATGTTGCAGGGTGGGAACAACAGAAATATCTTCCCCCCCGACACATGCTCTATTCCAGCATCACCCAGAAGGACCTGTCCCTGAGAATCGCTCCCTGCCCACATGCCCCATAACTGGCCCTGGCTCCCAGGGGATTCTGCAGGGAAACCGCCTGGCCCCATCTCAGCCATGAAAACACGGGGCAGGTCTCTGCGGCAGATCCCTGGAAGGCCATTGCATTCCTTTGTCCGGGCTGCTGGAAAGAGCGCCAGCCCCCTTGCCTCTTATCCCTGGCTCCGCTTTAGTCTTCCCTGCCAGCAGCTAATAAATCAGTCGCCGGCGCATCCACCTAGCAGCGGAGCTAAAAATAAAGGGGCTGGGAAGGGGTCAGGGCGAGGTGGCTGTGACGGGCGAAGAGGGACGTGCGTGGAAGCAGGCTGGCATGCACGGAGCTTGCACCAGGGGCTGGGCCCCGCCCCCTTGGACTCAGATCGACCCCAGCTCAGGGGGAGAGAGCCGGCAAGCCCCATGGACCAGCTTTGTCCCGTGCTCTTGCATGCACGGCTAGAGCAGCCCCGGGTCCGTGTGGGCAGCCTTCCCATGCAGTGCTTTGCCCAGCTGCTGCCCACGGCTGGGGGGTGCATGCACGGAGCTTGCACCAGGGGCTGGGCCCCGCCCCCTTGGACTCAGATCGACCCCAGCTCAGGGGGAGAGAGCCGGCAAGCCCCATGGACCAGCTTTGTCCCGTGCTCTTGCATGCACGGCTAGAGCAGCCCCGGGTCCGTGTGGGCAGCCTTCCCATGCAGTGCTTTGCCCAGCTGCTGCCCACGGCTGGGGGGTGTCCC